CTTCGTATCTATATCTAATTAACTCAGTAAAGTGACACATGAAATGAAAAACATATTTGATATTTGGGAAGTTAGATTAGAGAAAGAAGCACTACTACAAAGTGAAAACAAAGTCGTTGCCTTTCTTCCAGAAACCTCATGCTCAAGAGAGTGGAAGAATTTTGATTGTGATGATAGAAGCCTGGAAGGGATGGTGGTGATAACGCTATAAGAATTTGCTATTCTTCTGAAGGGCCTTTAAGCGAGGATGATTTTGTTTGTGCGTTTGAACTCTCATATTGAATTATGTGTGTGATCGTGCAATCATATAACGTCTTTGTGTTGTACGAAGTATATATTTTGGACTACAGTTATGCTTACATTTTGTTGGTTGTTAGTACTTTAACTATTATAATTTCGTATAACTTTTTCATTCTAACTTACTTTTTCAGAAATGGTGACAGAGAGAGTACCTTATGTTGATTCCCAGAGTAAATGTTTAGTAATGCATCTGTAAATTAGTAATGCACGTGGGGTTACTTATATTACATTGTGCAGGACCGGGAGGCGGGAAGGGGAGCGGGTGACTCTCAATTTACTATTTAACAACTTCATTTGGGTTCGGTGCAACATTTTCTTGGACTCATGATCAATTTTTAAAGATAGTGGTGCTGTTTCTACTAATTATTGTGACAGGTAGGGTTGTATCCAATCTGAAGGTTAAGGTAAACTTTGTAGTTCCTCTCTGATCTCACGGGTTCTATGGCAGCTTGTGCATCTTCTCGAATGGTGTTCCACTGGCCATCTTCTCAACGTTGCATTGTCGAGCATCTACACTGACGCTTAAGGAAATACCTATGTCCATCCTCTCCACGTTGAACTAGCACCTCCAATAGCAATGAGTGTCTGTATCAATGGCCGATGAGCTTCATCAATTTGGCGGAAAACAATGTTGATCTAGCGACGAGCTTTGTTGGTCTAGCGCAAGCTTCACTTTCCAAGTGCGAGTTTTGTGGATCCAGTGAGGACCTTCATCATCTGATGACTCATAGCTCGAATTTGACAGCAGATGGCGATGTCTTCTTGGGCTGAGAGAATTAATGCAGATTTTTGAGAAAACTGACATCGAATTATGTACATCATCGTTGAACTGGATTTTTTGTCTGTAGGGGCACCTTTTGTTTCCTGTAATGAATTAATTTGGATTTTCTACTGGTATTCCTTTTGTCTAAATCTTTTTGTTTAGACCTACCATAGCGATTCACCTTATTTCTCCATTTTTGTTTTTGTCGGGATGGTAGGGGTCGGGGCAAGGATAACACTGATGGGTAGGGGCTGGGGTAGTGGTTTGGGAGGAGCATTTGGTCACCGGCTAGGGTGACAGGTCATTGACTGAGTGGTGGCGGCTACTGATAGGGTGGCCGGTGGACACGAACAGATGGTCATTGACGGGGTGGAAGATGGTCATTGTGACCAGGTACCAGTGACAACAGTCACTGATGCGGTGATTAGTATCGAGTTAAGTCACTGAGGTAGTTAAAGTCATCAAGGTAAAGTTAGTAAGTTTAATACGAAGTGTACCTTAATTACATTTTTGGAAATTTTCCAATATCTTCTTTGTCCATTTTCTACTTTTTAGCAATATTTAGCTCAAAGCCCTTATTTCATAAATATTTTGTAATCATTTTTCTATCCCGTGCAACGCACGGGTGAAAGACTAGTTAATCAAATTATTATGCTCCATACCACGTATTCCCTCCTGACAAGCCAAAATGTGTAGTGTGAAATGATGTAAAAATGTGAATGGAAATGATGTCTTAATTGACTTATAACGATATAGTATAGAGTAAGTGAGTATCGTTCCACTAGAGAATGTCTCACAAAGAGAACTAGAATTAATGATTGATTTTTAGTTAATCATAAATTGATACATTTTGCAATGGAGCTAAGTGAACAGATCTTTGTTTGTTGTTTTTATGATTGCAGAATTGCTAAATGAGTAAAATAAATCACAATACTTGGTAATTTAACAATTAATGATATAGAGAAAATTAGGCTTGGGCTAAGAGTAATTTTATTTTGATGTTCATAATAATAAAGATTTAACTAATTAACTTAGTTACTTTTAGGTGTGTAAAAGATTTACAAATGGTAATCTTCTAATCGTTCCCACGACTTAGTCGATTACACTATCTTAAATTAATTCCGCTCCCGCGGTAATTTTATTAAGACAATAAAAAGTACAGAATCAATTTATCCTAAATTCCTTAACACTTTCGTGGGTTAATTTAGTGGGTGAATTAACTAAATGGATTTTAATGAAATTTCACTCCCGTGATGATATTCATTTCCAATATTAATGTATTTAACATATTAGAATATTCAACCCAACACTCCTAAAATTAACCAAGTAATAGTTTTAACCAATTATTATCATATGAATATTAACAGTAAAAGTTACATCTTGCTCAAGCCTAAACTAATTTAGTTACACATAATTATGAAATAAAAGTAAAACTGATGATAAGCATAATTAACTTTAACTGATTAAAGAAAATAAAACGAGTATTTGATTAAGAACCCCAAGGCATAAATAATCATGGATGAGCTGGAATAGAGAAAGCTGAAATCCTTAAACTGGAAATGATTCTGACTGATACTTCCCAAATGAACTTGATTGTTGAGATATAAAGAACTAAAATTCTGGAAATGGAAATTACAAACTGAAATTTACAGAAAGTGTTCTTGAAAAATCACTTTTATTATATGGCTATTACTATGAACAAAGCTAAAGAAAGGAGGAATTTTCTCTCCGAATTGGTGTCTTTTTAAGCTCTGGAACGACCCCTTTTTATAGCAGCAAAAGAAGAGTATGGAGCATAAAATATCTCCAAATGAAGACAAGGATCATTATATTTGAGCGGCCACTGATTTGAATCTTCACCAGATGTGATAGCCAATTTCTTATTTTCTTCCTCCAAATAGCACCACCACTGTTCAGTTGTGATTTTTTTTCTTCGTTGGCCGTTGTTCTCTCCTGTTTGCCGACGGCTTGCTGAGTGAAAATGACGAGGACAGCCGGTTCCAAGTGTATCGAATTGGTGGCCTGGATTAATACAATGTACGAAGTATTTAATCTCCTTTATTTTCTTCTTGGGAGTTTCCACGGTGGAGCTTCTTCATTCATAGAGTGAACAGTACTTGCTTCTCAGCCAAAATTTTGGCTCTTATCCGCTGCATTATTTGGCCGGATGACTTTTTGATCAGTTAACTGGTCAGCAGTTAACCGGTACATTTTATTGCAGACAGTTTGACTTATTCTGAAGTATATTTCAGTTAACTGGTCAGCAGTTAACTACTTTTTTTACCTTTTCAATTACTTTATTAATAATTATACAGAGTCACCCCAATTCCATAAAACAAATGCACTTCATCTTTATGGAGTGTTTGCAATAGTTTTAAAAAAACACTTTTCGGCGGTTGGTTTAAAATACTAAAATGAGTATTTTCAAACGATAACTTCTACTTAAAAAATAATTTTTGACTTTTAGCTGAAAAGTGCTTTGTACTGTTACTGTTACACAAAAAGCACTTATTTTACCAAACACTACCAATTTTCACTTTTCAAAATCATTTTTTCTCAAAACTTTTACTACTAAACACTTTTTCTAAAATCACTTCAAAAAATGTTTTTTTATAATTAAAAGCTATTGCAAACCATCCCTAAAACTTATGCAAAAAAGAATTCGGCTAATATTATTCGCCCATCTTATATATCCGCATGTTATCCAGAATTCCAGATACCCACAATTAGGCCTAAGACCAGCTCGATTCCTAAGCAAGTGGAACCGTTTGAAAATATGAATTTTTTCTAACGTTTCTGTTCTTATAAATTACGGAGTATTTTATAGAACCAATAAGGAACCAAACCATTTTTGTCATTTAACGGTTCCTACTAAACACTTTTTCTAAAATCACTTCAAAAAATGTTTTTTTTTATAATTAAAAGCTATTGCAAACTCTCCCTAAAACTTATGCAAAAAAAGAATTCGGCTAATATTATTCGCCCATCTTATATATCCGCATGTTATCCAGAATTCCAGATACCCACAATTAGGCCTAAGACCAGTTCGATTCCTAAGCAAGTGGAACCGTTTGAAAATATGAAATTTTACTAACGTTTCCGTTTTTATAAATTACAGAGTATTTTATAGAACCGATAAGAAAAAACCGTTTTTGTGAATTAACGGTTCCTACTCTTTGAAAAAAATCTTACAAATGATGACTAAATTTTTTCCAAAAAATCATTCAACGTTTTAACTTACAATACAAATATGTTGAACTACTTAAAGAGAATAATAGTTTTAAATACGGAGTAGTGTATACTCATAACAAATATACATAATTTTAATGGGAAAGTTCCCAAAATAGGACTAAAACAGTTTGAAAATTTCAAAATAGGACTGTCATGTTTTTTATTCCCAAAATAGGAGTAATTACTGCCAAATTTGGAAAATATTGCCATGTTTGAAGTTTGATACTACCAAAACATGACAGTAATTAATCCTATTTTGGGAATAAAAACATGCAGTCTTATTTTGGAATTTTCAAACATTTTTAGTCCTATTTCGGATAATATATCAATTTTCCATCATTTGCAATGGAGCCAAAGATTCATTATTTTTTGGCTTAAGAATATGATGGAATAAAGCAAAATGGCTCACTAAACTGTCTGCGCTTCTTTGTTATGAAGTAGCAGTCAGCCCATGCAATTTTGGACGCGATTTTCACTATGGGTCATCCGGAAACAGTTTCTCTGTGCTTCAGTACAGAGGTAAGACTGCGTACATCCGACCCCCCTTACCCCACCGTAAGTGGGAGCCTTTGCGGCACTGGGATAAATGAAAATGAAAATGATATATGACAGTATTTTTTCAAAAACAGAGAACCGAATCATGAAAAAAAAAATAGGAACTAAACTTTTAACAAATATTGGAACCAAACCCTACCCACAATTCCCCGTCTGGCCGTCTATAACAAAAATGTGTGCAGACTGCACACCTATCCTATGCCGCTCATTCCACCAACAATTTTGACGTCAGTCAGCTAACACTCTCCAGTTGTGTACACCGCACAATCGATCTTTCAATTTCTCCTTAAATCCCCGGACACTCCCCAATAGTCGCATGCCCTTTACCAGAAACCAATCGAGGATTCCGAAGTTATTATCTTTCTGTGCCGTTACAAGCTCCGACTCTTTGGGTTATGGTGGCTGGGACACTCCCCAACTCTTCAGTGACTCAGGTGAGTCGAACCACCTTCACAGTCTTCTGAACTCACTGGGAATTAATGATAAAAAACATGTCTCTGTATTCGTGTTGGGGTTTGTTTGTGCGTTAGCCGTTTCTAGAGTCATAGTTTCATCATTTATTGCATTCTCTGCTTGTATGATGGTATTTGTTCTTGGGTTCACAATTGGGCTTGTCAATGGAGGTAAGATGAGCTCAAACAAGACCAAAAATATGGCAAAAAAATGATTTTAATGGAGTTCCTGTTGATAAATTGAGTTCTTTGGTAGATGTAATCAAAGAGTTTGATGCTAAGATTGTGAATTTGAAGAATGATGTTAAGAAGAGTATTGAAAGTAATTACATTACAGTGGGTGACCTAGAATGTTTCATCAACAACTTAGAGTCTGTTAATTCATTAACTGTTAATGCTAGAGGTATCCTTGATGATTGTATAATAATTAGAAACCAGGAAGTGGAAAGAAGCTCAAATCAAAAGCAGAGTAGGCAAAAGAAGGATCCAAGAGATAATCAGTTTGGCATCCCTGGGTTTTTCAGGCCTGTTTCCAGAAAAACCAGATTTGAAGTATAATAAAGTGAAAGTTCCAAAGTTGATGAGCTAATGGATGGGAATATATTACGCTCTTCTGCTTATGATAGAAATAAAAACAATATATCGAATAAGGAAGCAAGTACTTGATCAAACTCAGATGCTGATGGCAATGCAAATCCGCCCGAAATGGATTATACGGCTTTTGGAAGTCAACAATATGGTTATTGGATTAAAAGTTCCCATTACATTAGGAACCAGAGAATCTCTCTTAACAATGTTTATACTAGAGAAGATGGGATTTGGACATCAGATGAGTTCTTAAGCAACTCTGTGGAGTTTTCTGAAACTGTTTCTTCTTTTCGGTAAGAGGAAGAGGTCAAAGAGTTAAAAGGAAATTATAGCGTGCTTAATGGGCCAAAGATGGGTGAAGAAGACCATGGCAAGGGTGATATTAACTTCAATAGTTCAATAAGTACATTTCTGAAGCTAATGCTCTTCTGGAAGAAGCTAAAGGTTGTTCAAAAGGGTGATGCTAAGATTGCAGATGGTGCACTCCAAAAGTCTGCACTTGTGCTTTCAAAAGCTACACGCATTAGACCTGTGAGTTCATTGGCTGTGGGCCTTTTGGGAAACACATACCTTGTCCATGGAGAGCTAAAACTGAGGATCAGCCGTGATTTGAGGATGCTACTACTCACTAGAGCAAATGCACAATGTAATAAATATGGGAGGAAAGAGGAAATTGCATCTTATCTGGGTAATGTGTGTGAAGAGTGTGAAGAATTGCTGATTAAGGCAGGAAGGCAGTATAAGCTGGCTCTGTTGATTGATGGGAACGATATGAGAGCGATGTATAAGTGGGGTCTTGCTCTCTCTTTCCGAGCGCAATTGATTTTAGACATTGGACCTTTACGCACTCTCCAGCATAACAATTAATGGCTGTTTCGTAAATCTGCATACACCACGACTTCATTATTCTAGCAACATCGTTTGCGAACATTGTTCTCCTCCATCCTTTTTTCTAAGCAATTCATACTATCCGAACAGAGTACCTGGTTGACACACATATATGATGTACATGTTCAAATTTTAAAGTGCAGCACGTAGTGCCGACAAGGTGTTCTTGGCTGCCATTAGAGATGGCAATTTCAGACGACCCGTTGGATACCCGCACCGGACCGATTTGATCAAATTGGAGAAAATCGGTTTGACTGGGGAATGGGTATGGGGCGGGGAATATCCGAAACTTTTAAATGGATAATGGTGCGGTTATGGTTCTATACTAATTTGCCCCGTTATCCGCCCCAAAACCGCCCCGTTCATTAATGGTGCAGGTACTTGCACCGTTACCCGATCCGTAACATTATTAATAAATTACTACCTCCGTCCCGCTAAGATTGTCACATTTTACCATTTCGGTCCGTCCCACTAAGATTGTCTCATACCTTATTTGGCAAAGTTTTGTGGCTCTAAATCATTCTTACTTTATTCTTACTTTATCAATTCAATATCAACCACATAAACCACTTTTTATAGATTTGCATGTCACTCCCTCTTGTCCCATTGTTAGTGGGACGGAGGGAGTATCTTTTTATATAAGAATAATAAGTATATATGCTAAATTGTGTATACTAAATTGTACCCCAGAAACCCAATCCGTAGTATATATCATATACGTATATAAAGAATAATACACCAGAAACCCACTTCAAAAAACTCTAACAGTTTTTGCGAATTAGGCTTAAAACATTGTTTTTGCGATGAATTACTACTTTTTAGGCCTAAAATAGTTTTTTTTTTTTTGTGATGGATTACTACTTTTTTAGGCCTAGAACTAAATATAGGCCTAAACCAGGTTTTGGAATTTGGATTCTGAGATGATTACTACTTTTTTATTATGTTACAAGAGATATTAGGTGCATGTCATACTATTGAATTTAGGCCTGTCTGTTTGATTGTTTAAATATTTACTTTTGTATGTTTTGGGGTGCTTCGAATATATAAATAATAAGTAGGATTAGAAATTAATTATTTGATATCATTTGGGCAAACAGTTACCCGTGGATAAACCGATTCCCCGTTGGGGCGGGTACGGTTCAAATAAAAATTACCCAAACGAGTAATGGGGCGGCTTTGGGGCAAACATTTATCCAACTGGGCGGTTTCGATTTTATGTGTACCCGTCCCCGATCCGCCCTGTTGCCATCCCTAGCTGCCATTGATAAATTTGATGCAATGATGTCTAAAAGTAATAATTATGCACCTGATGGTATGTTTAAAACTTCTGTTCATTCATCAACTGTTAGTCCACATTCACATTTATCCTTCCATTAACTTCAGTTTTGGAGTTGGGCAGCTTATATATCTTGATATATATTCTAGCCATTCCTATGTATATGTCTTCATTGCCCAGTTTACAAAGTTTAAGAACACGCATTAAACTGGAGACATAAGGAACAAATTAATCAAAATTAATTACATGAATAATTATTGCTTATCTTTGCATGGTTCTGACGTCGTTTAGTGGTAATGAACTAAAATATATGAACATTTATTTTTACCATTATTCTTGTTAGAGCAGAAATATGGTATATAGCCTTTTCAATCTTTAAAATCAGGTAGGAAAAATAAAAAGAACAGTGCCCTTTGAGCTGATGTATCAAATATATAAATTTTTTATAAATGTTGCTCGTTACAGCACTGTTTAGATGGGGTGCGGCCTTACAACAATGATCTTGCCTACGGCCCAAAAGAAGTAGAGAGAAGGTTAGAAGACTATATGAAGATGCACTTGGTATGGACTCTGGGAATGTCCAAGTTCGGAAGGCCTTATCATCCTGCAGTTACAGGTTATTCTGATTTTCTAACCTGGGAGTAAAAGGGGAGTACCTCTGATCATATCTCAACAGCAGTTACAGGTTATTCTGATTTTCTTACAATCTTATTGGGATGTACGGAGTATTTAAAAGTATGTTACACTTTCCCTTTTTGATAAGTTTTTACTTTAAAAATATCCAATTACCCTTACTTTTTCTAGTTTTTATCTTCTTATTCCTATTTTTTATCTTCTTCCCTACCTTTTCTACACTATTCATTACCCCTACTATTTCCCCCTTAAATATGGCGCCAAAGATTAATGTAGTGATCTTTAAAATACAGTGGAGGTAATTAATACAGAGTATGTAGTTACCGTTATTGAGACAAATGATCAAGTATTTCTACTTCATAGTTTATTATTTAACTTAATATCACAAATTTGCACATCTGGCTATCCGTGACACTCAAATAGGTTCGTGTACCTGCCAGACCCCCAAGTTGTTTGTTATACTACAGTTACAAAAAGCTTATATTAGAAGAACCATCAATCGAATTAAAACTTGCAAATAGCCTATTTAGAAGGTCACCTTCCGATTGCAAAATTGTAATCAATCAAAGCACAAATCACAGCTATATTTTGAAGTTCAATATAAACAAAAGTGACTACGTTCATATGGACAAGTGTGAGTAAAAAGGTATTAAATTTGGAAACTCATGAATGTCATTAGCCCGTTTATTATATCACTAGTAGTTTTTCTTTCGTCATTGTGAGTTACTGATGGTGTCATTGTTAATGCCACCTATTTCACTGTCGTCATGGAACATGTCACTATGACCGACAGAAATTTTTTCCAGTTACTTTTTCCGGCTGCAGGCACTTTCAGCAAGCAGCGGCTGCTAGTGGTTGCTGGAGACAGTGGTGGAGCCCAATGGCGGATCCAGAAAAAATTGTTGTTGGGGGCACTAATATATGACGAAGTATAAATATCAAAATACACTTCAAATTTGAATCATGCAATAACCTAATATTATTAATATGGATAGAAAGAAATTTATGCCAATAGCATTGTGAATTTTTTATTGACAATATTATTTGATATATAACGACTTTAACTTTCGTAATATGCGTTGTCTAGTACTATGGAGTTTTCCAGGAAGAAAATATAATTAAGTTATGTTTTTGGACAAAAATATGATCAAGTCACTGTGTACGAGTAACAAGTTGAAAAGTTACTGGAATATGATGAGTCAAAAAGTCGTTGAAAACTTGTAACTCAATATGTCACTTTTTTGTAAAACTTTAAGGATATGTTCGGCACAACTAGCTGATAAGATACTTTTGTGAGCTTTTTAGTAACTGTTAGCTTTTAGTGACTGAAAAGATCTTAAACAGAAAAGGTGATAGCTGTTTGGTGAAAAGCTAACTGTTTAATTTAGTTCTGTTTGGTATACAAGCTGTTTGTATTAATTAATGCTAAAAGTCACATACTTTTCTTAGATGTTACTCCCTGTAGCATCTCAAAAAAGATTTTTTATTTTTTGAAAAGCTCTTAAATATAATCATGCCAAACATACAACTAGAAACTTTTAGAGACTTTTTAAATAGTAGAAAAGCTAGAAGACAGAGACTTTTGTCTGCCAAACATAGCCTAAAACTAGTCATATTATCGTTTGAATTTATTAGTTTAATAATATTCATGGAAAGAGGCCTTAACTTTCTTCATATAAAACACCACTCTCACACTATGTTATGCATTTTCCAAATTATATCCATTATTTTTGTACTACGTACTTACGTAGTATATTTCAATTAAATAATTGAAGAGTTAAAGTTCTAATGAATAATTGTCAAATTTTTTACAAATTGTCAAATCTATGAAAAATAGTGTCATGAATCTTATAATGCAATTAATTAAGTTAATTAAATAAAACAAGAGTGATTTGAAAAGTTTGTCTAGTACTCCGTATAAATTACTACCTCCGTTCCGCTACAAGGTTCCCATAACAAAATGACACAGTTATTTAGATGATAATCAAATAAAGTACTTCGGGTATATTTTGAGAAATAATTTTAATAGGTATAGATTATAATGTGTTAGTATTGATAACTGTGATGTTATAAATGTATTATTTTTAATATTTAATGACTAATCTGTCAATTAAAATTGTTAATTGTTTCCTAAAATAGAAATGGGAACCTTCTAACGGGATATCCAAAAAGGGAAAGTAGGAACCTTCTAACGGGACGGAGGGAGTAGCATAGTCTGCTATGAATGTTGTAAATTTAAAACTAAAATTAAATGAATCACTAACCAAAATTAAAAGTAAATATGTAAGTTATAAACCTTAAAGATCCCAATCAAAATGGATACAAACTAGAATCTTATCAAATACTATAAATAAAAATTTAAAATTCCAATACCGAAATAAGTTACATTTATAATCATTCTCTAGACGTTACGTAAATAAAAAGATATGGACTTTAATTTGATTTGAACCATGTCACTAAGATTATAAATGGGGCAATCTTTTCTACAATGTTCACCAATTAATGGGGCATTCGTTTCTTCTTATTGGGGCAAACTATAATATTTTAATATTATATGATTAATTTAAACAAAAATTGATGAGTTTATTGGGTGCATGTGCCCCCATTAGTTATATAGTGCATCCGCCCCTGGTGGGGCCGGGGGTCAGGTGAGGGCATGGGTGGCCAGTCAGGTAGGAGTTAAAAGTAGAAGAAAGGTATATGAATTAATTAAAAGTTAGTGACATTTGTTCGAAAAATAAAAGCTAGCGATATATTTTTCTTTCAAAAGTGTAGAAATAATAGTTTTGCCGTTTTTTCATATTTTAACCATTGCAGTAATGTGTTAGAGACTCAACAAAAGAATCAGAAATCAGCAATATATTAGATAAGAATCCTGGAAGCTACACTAATGGCAGAAAATATAAAAAGGTACTAGAGGACAAATTTGACAGTGCCTCGCTCTCCCAGCCTAATCACAGAATATCTGCTTGCCTTCTCACTCCCCTCTCCCTTTCTATTAATAAGCCCCTTAAACCATTGACCCACTAGGCTAGTCGGTTACAACCTCTGCCCCCTCCCTTCTTTTGTACTCCCTCCCTAAATGTTGTTCCAATTGCGGATTACGAAAGTTGACCGACGATAAAGTTAAATGATCCCTGTGAAAACTCGGATTATTTTTAGTAAATAAAATTTACATATTCAGAAACTACATTAAACCCGCTACAAAGCTTGTAAAAAATAATTCAACTTTTTTAAAATTTTGATATAAAAAGTAAGAGTTTAAGAGTGATTTAAGTTGACTTTCGATAAGCGAAATGGAACTTCTTTTAGGGACAGAGGGAGTACACTTTATCAAAATATTTTATATTAATGGGCTTATTATTTCCATTGCTTCCGGTCCCCTTGTCCATGTCTTTATCATTACTCCCCTCCTCGACTTCCACCTTGTCCTCAAGGTGTGGACTGCTGGAAACTGCTGCTTAAACTTTTGCATGGGTTCCCACGAGTCTTCAAAATTGGGTAAATGCACCAACAACTCAGTTTCCCCTGTAGGACTCACCCTGGTGGCCAGAACTTTCTCCGGAAATTCCCAATCTTGAGATAGACATTTGGGTAGTGGCTGGAAAGGTGTGCAAGTGTGTTAGAAGTCACTGATTTCTTCAGCAGTGAGATATGAAAGACGGGTGAACTGCATAATCTTCAGGCAATCTTCATTTACCTCAAATGGTCCATATAATCTTGGACATAGCTTCTGATCCATCCTCTTTGCTAGGCTCCTGAGTTTATATGGTTGGATCTTCAAATACACTTTATCGCCCACCTCCACTTTTAGGCCCCTTCTGTGTCTATCGGCTTGTTGTTTCATCCTATTCGGAGTGATGGCCAGACTAGATTTCACTTCGTCCAACATTAGATTTCTCTCCTCCGTTAACTTGGTCACTTCCTCCACTGCTGTTACAGTAAGGAGAAGCAAATGAGATAGAATTGTGCTATAGGTATCCCATTTTGGGATACCCCATTTTTATTCACACTATTTGTGGTCCAAATAAGGTCCACTTAAATGTGTTGCCCACTTAAATGTGTTGCCCCATTTTTGGTCATACAATAGGAGGTAAGAATGGGGTACCCAAATTGAGGTACCTATACCATTTTTGAATGGGATATTGTCTTTCAAAAAGTTTTGTAAGCCGCCATAATTGAAACAAAGTTTTGTAAGCACAGACAGAGGATAAAGAATTTACAAAGTACAATGCAATAATGCAAATCTAAGTAAGACCAATAGTCAGGGACTCAGGGACAAATTCATACAACTCTAAACAAATCTGCAGTTAGCTCAACCAATAGACAGGACGAATTTGTAGTCAAGAAGTTAAGTTGCTTTCACCCTCTTTAGAGGTTTGCTTGCTCCCCAGCCACCATCAACAAAACATAACTTTAATCACTGTTAGGATGTTTTCTTTTGGACTGAAATTTGCTGGTTTGGTCTATTTAAGTCTGGTCTGGTAAACGTCTGGTCCTTGTGTATTTTATAACTAAGAAAGTCTGGTTTGGTCTGGTCTGTTTAAGTCTGGTCTTGTCTGGTCTGGTCTGTTTAAGTCTGGTCTTGTCTGGTCTGGTGTGTTTAAGTCTAGTCAGGTCTGGGACTGAAAACAGTCCAAAAGAAAACATCCTTAGCGAGGCATCACAGACAGGGGATAAAGAATTTACAAAGTACAATGCATGTCTAATGAATATAGAAACTTTTTGAGTTATTAAAACGCAAGTTTCAATGAATTCAAGTCAAACTAGAATACAAGATCTTATCTAAAGAATGTAAGCATACAAGACGAGTCTTTTAAAGGGAATTATCTTTTGACTCACAATTAATTCATAGTTTGAACTCCACTTATGATAATTTAGTTTGAAAAGGTAATAACAAAATACCAATCACTTATATCAACAGAAATACTAAACTACCTCTAACTTAAAGGAGGCTGCACCACCTTCAACCAAAAAGTTGTTAATCATACGAAACATCTTGTCCATAAATTTATTAAGTCAGCTATATATCTATATATTAAAAAATTGCATATTAAAAAAATTAAACAATATATATTAATATTAATTTCCGATTCACAATTGCGTCTAAACCAAAACAAAAGTTTGAAAGTCAATTCAAACTTTTTCCGTTACTTTCATAGACATAACACAATAGTCTACTATTTCTATAAACTTCTTGAATGTAGTTTAATTTTAAAACTAATTACTAACTTATCAACCAAGTCAAATGACCTTGGTTGATTTAATGTTAGTGCCCTAACAACAATGAAAGACTCGTCAGCGACCAACTCCACGTCCTGTAAGACAAAATATGAATTTAAAAATAACAATAATAATTAACAAAGCTAGACATAATAAATTTAACATAAACCTCTTCATTAAATTAAAATTAGGGATCGATACTAATCTGGCATCATGTTTTTGAACAATGGTTGGTGTCAGACTTGTTTGTTGTACCCAGCCTTTGACCTTTTTAATCTGCAAGAAGAAAAACACATTTAAAAATACATTTAAATGACGAAACATAATTAAATATTTAAGTTATTGACTTATCCATTACGATTTCATGAAAATTTGGACTCATCCAAAACTGACACGAATCAGATCATTGTATGTATAGAAGTCATACAATTTCATGCTAATCCCACTACCAACGGACTTCAGAAGATCTTTTCCCCCGGATATAGCCAAAGCTCCTATAATAAACAAACAATACACTATTCTAATAAAATATAGATAAAAATATTTTAATAATACAGACCATAACATCCAAACCTTAGTCCCAAAATATTTTAATTTCCACACATTGGATTTGTGGTCTCTATTATTAAAATACTTTTATCTATATTTTATTAGAATAGTGTATTGTTTGTTTACTATAGGGGCTTTAGCTATATCAAGGGGAAATGATCTTTTGAAGTCCGTTGGTAGTAGGATTAGCATGAAGTTGGATGACTTCTATACATATAATAATGATATGATTCGTGTAAGTTTTGGATGACTCCAAATTTATTTTTCATGAAATCGTAATGAATAAGTCAATAACATAAATATTTAATTTTGTTTCGTCGTTTAAATGTATTTTTAAATGTGTTTTTCTTCTTCCAGTTTGGAAAGGTTAAAGGCTGGGTACAACAAACAAGTCTGACACGAACCATTGTTCAAGAACATGATGCCAGATTAGTATCGATCCCTAATTTTAAATTTAATGAAGAAGTTTATGTTAAATTTATTATGTCTAGCTTTGTTAATTATTATTGTTATTTTTAAATTCATATTCTGTCTTACAGGACGTGGAGTTGGTCGCTGACGAGTCTTTCATTGTTGTTTCATTGTTGTGAGGGCACTAACATTTAATCAACCAAGGTCATTTGACTTGGTTGATAAGTTAGTAATTATTTTTAAAACTACATTCAAGGAGTTTATAGAAAGAGTAGACTATTCTGTTATGTCTATGAAAGTAATGGAAAATAAGTTTGAATTGACTTTTAAACTTCTCCTTCAGTTTAGACGTAATTGGTAATTAATATATATTGTTTAATTATTTTAATATGTTTTTTTAATATATATAGATATATAGCTGACTTATTTTGTGTTTCCGCCTTGGAAGGACCAGCATAAATTTATGGACAAGATGTGTCGTATGATTAACAACTTTTTGGTTGAAGGTGATGCAGCCTCCTTCAAGTTAAAGGTGGTTTAGTATTTCCGTTGATATAATTGATTGATATTTTGTAATGACCTTTTTTAACTAAATTACCGCAAATGGAGTTGAAATTATGAATTAATTGTGAGTCAAAAGATAATTCCCTTTAAAAGACTCGTCTTGTATGCTTACATTTTTTAGTAAGACCTTATATTTTAGTTTGACTTGAATTCATTAAAACTTGCATTTTAGTAACTCAAAAAGTTTCTATGTTCATGAGACATGCATTGTGCTTTGTAAATTCTTTATCCTCTGTGATGTAAGCTAACAGTGATTAAAGGTATGTTTTGTTGATGGTGAGTGGGGAGCAAGCAAAACTCTAAAAAGGGTGAAAGCAACTTAGCTTCTTGACTACAAGTTTGTCCTGTCTATTGGTTGTGCTCACTGCAGATTTGTTTAGAGTTGTACGAATTTGTCCCTGACTATTGGTGCTTACTTAGATTTGCATTGTACTTTGTAATTTTTTATACTCTGTCTGTGCTTGCAAAACTTTGTTTCAATTATGGCGGCTTACAAAACTTTTTGGAAGACAATATCTCATTCAAAAATGGTATAGGTACTCATTCTGGGTACCCCATTCTTACCCCCTCCTATTCTGTGACAAAAAATGAGACAACACATTTAAGTGGGCCACACTGTTAAATGTGGCCTTATTTGGACTACAAATAGTGTGAATAAAAATGGGTACCCCAAAATGGGATAGCCTATAGCACAACACTGTTTCATTTGCTTCTCCTTAGGGAGTGTTTGCAATTGCTTCAACTTTAAAAAAGTGAGTTTTTAAAGTGATTTGGGGAAAAGTGATTAATAGTAAAAGTTGGTAGTGTTTGAGAAAAAAGTGATGCTGAAAAAGTAAAAGTTGGTAGTGTTTGGTAAAATAAGTACTTTTTGTGTAATAGAAAAAGTGAAAAGCAGTTTAAAGCACCCTTCCACCTGCTTCCAGCTTTTAGCTTTTAAGTGATTAATTTAAGCAGAAGCTGTTACTTGAAAACACTCTTTTTAAAGTGATTTTTTAAAGTGATTTGGGGAAAAGTGATTAATATTAAAAGTTGGTAGTGTTTGAGAAAAAAGTGATTCTTAAAAAGTAAAAGTTGGTAGTGTTTGGTAAAATAAGTACTTTTTGTGTAATAGAAAAAGTGAAAAGCAGTTTAAAGCACCCTTCTACCTGCTTCCAGCTTTTAGCTTTTAAGTGATTAATTTAAGCAGAAGCTGTTATTTGAAAACACTCTTTTTAACTTTTTTTAAGCCAAAAGCTAAAAAGTGCTTTTTTAATCAACTGCAAACACTCCTTTAGTGGCTTTGTCCTTATGGCTTATATTTAAGTTTTAATAATGCATTCTCGAAAATTTCAAAACTACATATAATAAATATATATACAACACAATCATGATTTCACGAAATTGACAGAAACAATAAGATCCCGTTTGGTAATGCCAAAATCGGTTGATTTTGCTGAAATTTATGAAATTCTGGTTGCATTGGTTGAATCTACTGATTTGTGAAAAAATTAGATTTAAAATATATTTTATTAATGAAATAACGAAAAAACTATATGAAAAAATAGTTAAAATGATCAATACAGTAAAAAAAGTAACTCTAACCTTACATTTTCTTATTATTACACAATTCAGCGCGTAGAATCAAAATTTACGCGTTTGGTGAAAATATTGTCCGATAAGTCGAAAAAACATGGTTACCAAATGGGCTCTAACTTTTAATAATAGTTTTAATAACAATGCATCATCATTCAAAGGCAATTGAAATAGGGATGAACTGGACTTGGTTGGCCTGGGCGGCTAGGCGGTCTGACCTAGGACCAACCGGGACTGGTACTAATGCAAACTGGGTCGGTACGGGGTTGCAATTACTTAGAACCAGGGCCGACCCAGCTCCATGCCTATTAAAATATGCTACTATGTTGAACTATTTGATTTCTCTCGACCAAAAACTCTAAACTCATAGATACACAGGGGCGGAGCCAAGGGGGGTCAAGGGGGTCAGCTGACCCCGCTGAAAGTTTGAGAGTATATAGCTCTGAAATATCTTCGATTTGATATATTATGGCCTCCATAACTCATTACGAGTAAAAAGTTATGACTTCTGGAAAATCAACACCATCTAAACGTAAAATCAGTAAAATTTGATGCATAATATTGATTATTTTCCCAAATTTTATGAATAAAGTATAATTAATTCATTAGTTACGTAACATGATTCAGAAACAGAGCAAAGACAGTATATCTTATTGCTTACGAATGCTTATTTATCTAAACTACAAATAAAACATTCTATTCGAACATTATCTAAAAACGATGTACGATTTTTATTTTGTGCATAGTTGATTTTTGACCCCCTGACCAATTTTTCTGGCTCCGCCACTGTAGATACATTTTAATTATTGATATTATGCTTTAAATGCATATCTGATATCTAGAGATTACAAGGCCAGAGCATGTAAAACGATAAATTTGAAACTCTATATTAAAAATATTAGCTTTATGGACACCTAGAAAGGTCCTAAGCGGCTAAAGCCCAAACAGAACGCAGGGCCATGAAGAGAGTGAGCAAAAAACACCCTATATCCCGGTTTATGAATAAAGTGTTTAGTCATAAACTCGCCTTCTTGCATCTGTTGGCATGTATCAAACTGTTTGCATATGGAGTGTTTGGAGTAAAGGTAATAAGAAAGTGCGCGTGTTCAATCATCACACTGCTGCTGTAAAAGATGTGAAGTGGTCACATAATGGGCTCTCTGTGCTCTCATGTGGATATGACTGCTCTTCGAGGCTAACTGATGTTGAAAAAGGAGTTGAAACTCAGATATTCAAGGAGGACCAAGTTGTAGGATAATGTGAAACCAAGATCCATTAATGCTTTGAGTTGCTGTTCAAATATTATAATCTTGATGCAAGTATGCAACATCATTTGTACTCTCTACATGATATAATGTACTAATAATGCTAAGTTTCTCCGAGGGATTTCTTTCAGGTCTACAGTGAAGCCTATACCTGTCCCTCTATACGATCCCACACTTCTGTTGCCTACTTTATTGCAAAATCAAATGGAAACTAACATAGCAATCTTCTCTACTTCCCCTCCTTTCAGTAGGGGTGGGCAAAAATACCGAACCGGCATGGTACCAAACCGAACCGATATGGTACCGGATCGAAAAACGGTGTTTGAAACGGATCTCAATTTTTTTGTCCCGAACCGAACAGATTCTAAACAATGTCATGACCGGTTCTCATAAAATGAGAACCGAAACTGGACCGAACCGGACCAAAGTATGATTTAATTATTTAAATTTTCATTTATACCATTATTTTGACTAGTGCCTTTACATTTTTACCGTCTTTGCTAGTTCATAGGAAGGCTGGAATCGGATCGATGTATGGTTTAATCATTTAAATTTGGACTACTATAATTTATCTGAAATTTATTAATTATGTAATACTACCTTCGTTCCAAATTGATTTGCAAAATTAACTTTTTTTGTCAAACATATTCATTTTATTCACTTAACTAGAATTTCAATTTTTAATTATATTTAATTTGGAGCTTGCAACTTTGAAGAAATTTCAATGTAGTTTCTAAATATGTTTATTTTAATTATTAAAAATTGAATTAATTATCAATGAAGAGAATTTAACTCTAACATTGGTTGACCAAAAAATATTGACTTTGCATGTCAATTTGGGATGGAATGAGTACGAAAATTGATAAATTGTGTAAATTTTTGGATGATGATTAAACTTTAATTGTCTCTTAAACACTTGGAAAAATTGATTAAACTTTAATTGTCTCTTAAACGGTACGGTACCATGCCATCAATTGATTAATACTATTTTTTACAATAGTATTATGTACATCCCGTTTTGTGTGTCTTACTTTGATTTGACACAATTAATAATAAAGTGGTTGAAAAAGTAAAAAACTATAATTGATATTTGAGTATAATATATTTAAATTTTGTAGACCGCAATTTTTCTCCCAAAAATACTACGTATAACACTTATTTTAATTTTGTACAACATAGAAAGATAAATATAAACTAAAATTGGATGGAGAGTACACTCAATATGACTTCTTATTATGCACGAAGTACTATGTATTTTGACCAATATCATCTCCATTATTACTCTGTATATTGTGAAGCAGAACACGGATTGTACAATGTTGACTTTATCTCTGTATATAGCCTAGCCTTTGATTTATTAGATTTCATGCCCTCCGACAAAAATGAAAACAAAATGAAACTAAATTTGAGTGGTAGCAATTCTAGACGTCCATCTTCTATCTCTAATTTCCTCTTCGTCTTCAATTACATGATCATACACTCGAAGGGCATACGACTAATATTTCTCGCCAGCAATCATATCCGATCAAGTAAGAATATATGATATTCACGTAAACTTCTATTTTTCTGTTAAACGATGCTGAAAATATCCAATTTAAAGTCGGTATTTGATGATAAGATGGATAGAGCAACCTTAAGGAGAATATGAATTTGTATGAATGGATTAAAGAAAAATATAAGAACACGTGTAAATACAAAATCACATGCTTAAGTTGTGTTTTGATCGATTGATGCCATTAATTTCTTCAAATTAGCACTTATTTATGTGATTCCTTGGAATTAGTTTTGGAATTTGGGACGTATATAACATGTCTGGTTAATTGTTATCTGACTAAATTAAATCAGGTAAAGACAAAATGGTAGTATGACTGCTCACACATGTTGTCTCTTTGTGTCTTCTTATGCCCAACACTTAACCTCTTTAAATTGAACTGCAATGAGAAGGATGTCAAAGCTCTATTGTGCTCGTCGTGGACAAAATTTTGACCCCCAAAGATTTTTTAGTCACCGCAAAGTGTACCTATTAATTCTATTCATGGTTATTTTTGTCCATTGATTTATGAATTTATTGTTGCTAAAATTTTATTCACATTCACATATACTTCGTACATGGTAAGTAAAATATTGTCTTATTCAAATACATGGTAAAGAAATATGTAAAAATTAATTATATTGATATCGTTAATTTTAATATTCACATTCCTACATGCAACAAATAATATACTCGTATATTCTTTAGAATGAACTATAGTTTCGCTTTCAAAGAGGTCTCAATTATTCTTTCACATGAATGTAGTGGCAGACTTAGAAAATAGAGGCTTTTCTTGAAAAGGTGTCTTAATCATACCATTTTTTAATGTATCGTGAGTATAATCTTGTTACTGTTTTCATAATGCCAACACCAAATCTTAATTCCACACCAATCGTTTTCTAAAAAATCATTTAAATACTCACTCAACTAGAAAATGTGACCCGTTGCATGTAGTTTCACTTGAACAATGAGCACCAACTATAATCTCACTTGGAGCGATAGGATGTGGCAATTTTTTTTCTCAGAACAGGTATGACTCATTCAATTTTTTTAAGCTTTGTGGCTAAAAGCTTTCATACTTTTTTATATTAGATTGATTATTGTAATCTTCTAATTTTATAATTCATTGCAAAAAACAACCAAGGTTTGAAAGGTGGAAGGAAATAATACAATTGTCGAAGGAAGTTTGCTCAAAAAAGATTGGTTCCCGTTTTCATTTTTCCTTTGGATTTCACTGAAGGGTAGAAAAAAATACTTCAAAAAAGGCCACATAGATTTCCTGAATATTAACATATTTTTTTACGGTAATATTAACATAATGATTACGACATTGCTTGAAACTATTTCCCAAATCAAATTGTAATTATTAGTTGTGTTGAGATCACATTTTTACTACTTTTATTATTAATTAATAATTTAAGGACATACTCTCTCTCTCTGTCCCAAATTGTTTTGCAAAGTCAACATTTTTTTGGTCAACCAATAATAAAAGTCAAATCTCAGTTCCTTATCAATAATTAACTCAATTTTTAATAATTAAAATTTACATATTCAAAAACCACATTAAATTCTCTTTAAAGTTGCAAACTACGTCCTGATTAAGAAAATAAAATGAAACTGTTTGATCAAGAAAGGTCAAATTTGCAAATCAATTCGGGACGGAGGTAGTATATATAAGTACATGATTTGTCCATTTTTCACAAAACAGGATCTATTCGATGTGTCCATTTTTCATTTCAACAACCTTTGCATTTATACTTGAAGCTTGGCTCACACTACATTCCACAATCTGAACAGACCTCTTCCCATATGACGCGGCTCGAGTAACACCCCCAAGCAAAACTTATACTCCTTCCGTCCCAGGGAGAAGTTCACACTTTCCTTTTTTTAGTAGTCCCAACAAAAAGTTCCCATTTCCCTAAATGGAAAGTTATCTTACATCAAAATAGTGTCAAACAGGGCAAAACAGTGCCAAACAGTGTCGAAACAGTGCCAAACAGTATCGAAACAGTGCCAAACAGTAAAATTTACCCCACAGTAACTTTATTTCCTAAATATGTGTGAAAATCAACCCGGGAACTTCTCCCTGGGACGGAGGGAGTATTAAAGAATTAAATAGATTTAGCAAAACAAAAATAAAATGCATGAATACCATCAGGGACAACAATATTTAAAGGTGTTGATTAGGGTTGTAAACGAATCAAATAATTTGTGCTCGATTCGCGATTCGAATTCGTATAAGGTGATCCGAATTCGGAAAATTCAAATACAAATACAAATATGAATATTAAATTTGATTCGAGTTGTTATCAAATTCAAATAAGAATATCAGTGTATTCGATTCGAATATTAATCAAATATATTCGATTAATAATAGTGATAATATTAATATTAATATTAATAATAATATTAATAATAATAGTAATAACACTATAATAACTTTTAAAAGATAGCAATACCCTAAAGTGTAGTTCATATATACATTTATGCATACAAATCCTAAGTCCATTTGTAATAAATCAAAGTATAAATATGAATACAAATCAGATTTTTGGTTCAAATATCTTTCAAATACAATACAAATAATTATGTATTCGATTCGAAGAATAAAATTAGAGACGTCTGACTTTGATATATACAATTATCAACTTATTTCACACATTGTAAGTATAATTTCAAATATGTGTGTTGTGTTTATTTCTAAAAGTTTGAAATAGATTTATATTTGTTAATCATAAAATTAATTCACTTTAGTATATCATGCACAATTTAAATTCTAAAAACACATATTAAGACATAGCGTACATTTACAACATAAAAAAATATAAGAAAATTTATTTTAAAGTGATATTTGACTAATATTTAACCTATACTCAAATCTATTCGATATTCGTATAAGATTTGTTAACTATTCGTATTGTTAAACAAATACAAATACAAATCGAAATTAATATTCGTTTCATATTTGAATTCGAATTCGTATTCGAAAAAATTAATCAAATACAAATACAAAATTCTACTATTCGACTCGATTCGGTTCGTATACAACCCTAGTGTTGATGTGACGTACATTACTCAAATTGTGAACATCTGGGATGCTTATTTTGACATTGGAATCCACCTCTTTGGCATCCTATGATGATGGTCATACAATCTTTAATTGGTAAGTTAAAACTTCAGAAAATCACCGGAAAGTAAATGAGGGAAACTACATCATCCCCAACTTGGTTAACCTATTAAATGTTAGATATTTTTAAGAAATAACACCACACATTTAGGTTTTCTTAAATGAAGAAACATCCATATTCATATATATAACAATAATTTGCTTAAGGATAATTATACAAACCTTTGATGAATTTAGCACCCAACCTTTTTTCACTATTTTCCATCATCGCATAACTTCCCTACCATTTTCCTATAATGTTGTCGTTGTTCTCAACCTTAGAACAAAAATTGTTTGCCTATCAGTGTCAAGCTCTTCTCTGTTGCATCTTTGGTTTTTTTTAATCTTTGGTTATTTATATATACGAATACATGAACTGAATATTCTGGCCAACATGTTACTTTTTAATTTTGAAAAGTTTCCTAATGGAACCTCAACATTTTAATAGGAAATAAATGGTACTGGACTACTGGGGGTGTACCGTGTACCGTACCTTTTCTTTACCTTAGTTTTAATAGGATTTAAATGGTATTGCACGGGTGTTAGGATGTACATTTTTTACCTTAGTTGTTACCTTCTTTTATACGCGTAAATTATATATTATGCTTACATATGTTAAATACTCGTTTTCATCTATGTATTATATTAATATTAGGTAGATTCTATGGTATTCATAAGGTACCGTACCTTTGCCCACATGGACCAATTAGAATGATGCAGTTGAATTATTTAAATCTAAATTAAAATGGATTTAATGATTTGAACCAATCAAATGCATGGTAGGTACGGTACCTCATTTTTTAAATGGGTACCAGAGTTGTCACCTATATATTAATATAGATGAATTTGTCAAAAGTAATTACTTATATTTAGGTGAATTAATGCATGTTTAATTAGAATCATGCAATTGAATTATTTAAATCTAAATTAAAATGGATTTAATGATTTGGACCAATCATATGCATAGTAGGTACGGTATCTCATATATGTTAATATGTTAATATTAGTCAAAAGTAATTACTTATATTTAGAAAGTGTATGTGTGTTTACATATGGTCTGTTTGATTATATGCTCTGTATTACTTTGTTTAGGAATTTTTATGCATGGCAGGTTGAAGATATGATATGGGAAAATTCCCGAAATATGAGTAAAAAGATTTGAAAATTTCAAAACAGGACTGCCATGTTTTTATTCCCAAAATAGGAGTAATGATTCCTACTCAATAATTGAATTAAATGATTAGCCATAAATGTTCCATATTACCATACACTCATACGTGTATTATACATGGTATTCATGTATTATTTGATCTGGGGTTTGTCCTCAAATAATACTAAATAAAAGCATTTGGACAAAAAAAGAGACTTTTCTTTTAAGTTCTAAAAATAAGACTAAATAATACTTATGGGACTGTTACACCCTTACTAAGCCCAAAGCCCCAAACCCACTGACCTGCTACAGTAACCCGTCATAGTGACCAAATGTGCAGTGACCAATGTTACAGTTACCAATGACATAGTTACAAAATTATCCAGTGACCAAAAATTAACACGTCCCACCAATGACCCGCATCACAGTGACCAAATGTGCAGTGACTTTTGTCCAGTGACCAATTGACAAAGTGACATCCGCTCGGTGATCAATTTTTATAGTGATTCCCGTGCAGTGACCATCGCCACAATGACCATTGTCTACCAGTTACAGTTACACCCGACCAACACCCATCAATGATGGCCTAATTTTCAACCTTCTCTACTGGCGGCCACCCCTCCGCCACCAGCACCCCTCTGTCGCCCGCCACCCCAGCACCAACAAAGTGACCTATTTTCGC